TGCCACAAATTCCCCCAGCTGTGAGCCTTCCAACCTTCTAAGTATTCCTTTATATGTGGTTCATAGTTCTGGGACCATCCCCTGAGCCTGCTTGGTTGGGTATTCTGTGTTGTTGTTGGTGGAGCTCTTTGCTACACGTCCTCCCGATCCGCCATCTTGTTTGTTCTCCTATACATGCTATAGTTTTGCCATCAAGTTGGTGCCTAGACCTTGTTTAGGATTCCCAAAAGTAGCTGTTGGGTCTGAGCTACTGACCTTGCGGTTAATAGTCCAGTGCTAATCCTACAGTGGAGTCCTGGTATGGTGCTGTGGGTTAATGTGCCAGTCTGCAAAGCCATTTGAACTGCAAGGCTGGCAGTTCAAGCTCACCAGCTGCTTCTCAGAAACCCCATACAGGGTTGCTATGGGTTGGAACCGACTCAATGGCACTTAACAACACAACAACAATCTTACAGTGCCATACCAGGGTTCCGATGCACATTATAAACCTCATAATTATTATAATAATGGTTATATTTTATTTGAATGGTTAATTGTTTTTCATTGTTTTGTTTTGAGGTAATTCTAGGTCTAGAGTCTCGTATTGGTATTTAATAGAATGTCCAAAGTTTTCAGCTGTGCTCCGTGTGAGAAACAGGGAAGCAGACATCTGCTCATCTTTCTGGATGCAGAGTTATGTTTTGATGCCTGCCTCGCTAACCCTCTCTTACCACATCCCATGCCTGGGAGCCTGTGCAGTGCCTCCAATTGGCAAAGCTCCTTCAGACCTCAGTGCATTTGGACTTGCTTTTTCTTCTACCAAGAACCATCTGCTACTTCCCTCCCCCACCAAAAATCAAACCACAACAAAACAAACCCACAAACGACCACAACAAACTCAGAAAGCTGTTTTAACTTATGCTCAGACACCACTCTCTCCAGGAAGCCATCCTTTACCCTCCCAGTCTGGTTTATGTGCCCATTTTTTTTTGCTTTCATTGGCCTGTGTTTTATTTCCCTTCTGAGATTTATTAGATCAAATTGTGGTGACTTACCTTCATGGCTCCTCAGTAGACTAGTAGCTCCTTGGAAACAGCAGCAATGTCATTTGTTTGGGTACTTTGCCCAGGGCCGTGTGCTGACAATGCCATCTGGCAATCCCATGTGACCTATAGAATGGCCCCAGAGGGTTTTCTAGGCTGTGATCTTCATGGGAGCAGATGACCCATCTTTAGGTGAACACCTGAATGCTTCATCATTGCTTTTCCAGGGCTCCTTCAGGACATAATGAGCATTAAACTTTCTATTAAATGTCTAATAAGATCTTTTCCTTTGTAGGGGACTCTGCTGGATATGGATGGGCCTCAGCAAACTCTCAACCAGAACTTAGAGCTCAGATTTCAGTTCAATAAGGACAGTCAGTGGCAGTGGTTTGTTATTTACACCAAACAGGTGAGTTCTGTATGAAATGATCTGTGGCTTGCTGAGCTGGACAAAGTACCTTGCCTCAACACAACCAGAGCACAGTACTAGAGTGTGCTACAAATAATCTTTTTGGCCTAGAACACCTTTTTTAGTGTTTGATTTTTATTTTACTCACCACCATGGTGGCATCCACCACTTGTCTGTCACTTTGCCCTACTGTGGTGACTTGTGTGTT